CAATAATTCTAATGTTCTAATGTCGTTTATTTCTAGAATTAATGATAATTCTTATTTCTTTGTTGTTCTTTTTCTAATCACAGATCAAATAAAACTGTTGTCGAATCAAAAAAAGACGCCGAAAGTTAAGGTAGGTTTAAATATTATTTTTTTACACGTAACCACATGAAATGTATTTCGAGAAAAACAGAATCCTGCTCCATTAATAAATCAATAAGAAGCATTAAAAACTCTATTATTTTGAACGTCAAATATTTCTTCTTGAAAGATTGAACAAATTCCTGTTCTTCTTGTGTGAATCGAGAAACATACATACACAGTGAGTATACAGTATTTTACTCAGGTTAAGAGGGCTGTAATAACAAAAACATGAACCTGTGAGTCATATGTAAAAGTTGAATATGCGAACACTGTTTGATATCAGGAAAAAAATGCATTAATTAGCTCTACCACCAACTAGGAAACAGAAGCACTGTAACAGTGTTGCGTGATTTGGCGAAGTTTTATGTCATTGTGTCCCGCATGACATGACGTTTGTACCCTATTAATTTGAACCCATATCAGTTGTCTGAGTTACGCCCTTCTAAACCGGGTACAAGACTTTATAGCTACTGCTCTAAATTATGTTAGCAATTTTAAAATATTTTGATAAGTAAATGATAAACTTTTCAATAAGTGTTTGTTAATATACACATACTTTGTACAATCAGAAAGACAGCGAAACGTCATTAACAGAGAGACCAGTGGTTGAAACGAAATGTGCAAGCCCGGCCATGTGTACACGTAGTACGTACAGTTGCCATCACGCAAGGGAAACCTATGAGCGTCGATCAGGTTTGTTGAAGTTTTTAAATATATGAAGTATAGGATATGTCAATGAAACACAATAAAACAATGGTTTTAAGCTCATTCTTGTAAACAATGTTTAATTATGTATAAAAATATATAAATTATGTGTTTCATAGAACTTATGCACAAATCCTTCACTACGTTAATTTCTCTTTCTCACATGTATACATGTTTACTTGTGTGTTTGTTTGTTTGTAAAAGAAATTAGAGAATATAACGTCTACTGATATATACTTTCTCACTAATATTTACAATATTATCTAGGGTTTTATACAGTTTTAAATCATTTTAATAATAAAGAATTTTAGCGGGATCCTACATCTTAAAACAAATCAATTTAAAGTTATGCAGTAATTTTTTTAATGTTGTAATTTTAGCGGGATCCTACATCTTAAAACAAATCAATTTAAAGTTATGCAGTAACTTTTTTTAATGTTGTAAAATTGTTTAATGAAATTTTCTATTATTGCAGTGAAGCCGCCATTTCCTAAAGTCAATGTTCCTGTTCTGGCAGCCTTTTCCCGGACATCTAGCAGTAACGCGCCCTCTGGGAAGTCAAAAATTAACGTTAAATTATCCTCTAAAAATTGTACCGATAACAAATATAATTCTCTAACGAAAGCCAGTACAACTCCAAAAAAGCTCCAAAAGGTAAGGTCTACAAAAACATACCCTACTTTAACGGCGCTCCCTGTGGCTAAGAGACGAGAAAAGATGAGAAATACTGATGCAGGCTCTAGATCAAACATCAAAAGCCCAACAAATAAGATTAAATGTAACAGTAAAATTCTCAGTAAATCAGACCTCAAGAAAAACAGTTCTGATAGTTTTCAAAATTCTAGAAACCCAGATAAAATAGGAGTTTCTAGCAAAAACTTCAAAACTCAAGAAACAACTATCAGCCATAATGAGAAACCAGATGGCAACAATAAAAATGATATATATCAAAGTACAGTTGGTTTAAGATACAGTGAAGAAATGGAAAATAGCTATAAAGAAAAAACGGGTTTAGTTTCAGACTACAAAACGCAACCAAGAAGTGAAAATAAAACTAATACGATAAAGGAAGGATTTGAGCACTTCAACACTTGTGACAGAAAACAAAAAAATATTATATTCGATGCAGAAGAAATAATCAGTAATGATAAAACGGTAGGAGACTCTGTGCACCAAGCAATTAGCACTAGTCTCCAGAACGGTGCTCATCCTTCTGATACTGTCCTAATAGAGGTTAAATCCGAAGATTTTGCTAGAAAATATATTCACACGACCACGGTGGAGGACCTTCTTAGAGCAACTGCTCATACGAAAGACCACTCAGAAGGAAAACAACCTCTCAAACTATGGAATATACTTGATCTGGACTACAATGGACCACTTACGTTTGAAATCAGCCATGGTCGAGAGAAAGATATTTTTAAGCTTCCAGTAGACAAAATAAAAGATAACAAGAAATGGCAGGTGACGTTTACAATCGGCAAAGAAGAAATGAGTCATGGAAACTAAAGAAGTGTTGTGAATATAAATCAAACATCTCTGAGCTGTCTCCTGCTTAACCTTCTATAGTTAGAGATTTAAGGAAAAACGGTTCGACTGTGGCTTGGTGTTGGTGAAACGCAAAGTAAAATTTGGTATCTTTTGTATCTCTAGTTGAGTCATGCAGACGTATTTTCTGCTATTGAGCTCCTATCCAGAACAACTGTATAAGAATTAACTTAAAAGTAGGTTTTTTTTCAGGCACTACTTAAGACACAGTGAAGAAGGTTATGTGTGACATGACAGTGGGAGTCATCCACTCGTGAGATATGACAAGATATGGAAGAAGACAAATGAACACGTGACGTGACACAGTGCAAGAATTCAAGTTATCATTAGATGCGACACTGTGTGTGTATACTCAAGTTATCATATGATGCGATTATATAGTGTGTACACTTAAGTTATCAAAAGATGTGACACAGTGCAAGAATTCAAGTTATCATTAGATGCGACACTGTGTGTGTATACTCAAGTTATCATATGATGCGATTATATAGTGTGTACACTTAAGTTATCAAAAGATGTGACAGGGTGCGAGGATTAAAATTTGAATTGAAGACGCCACGTTATATCACAGGATTAAGTAAATAAAGGTGACCATAAAATCTGAGACATTTGGAAATGACCATAATATAGTGGCCATAGGACGTGGCAGCTTGTAGAAATTATATTCTGGAAATTGGCTCTTCGAAAAAAGGTCAAAATTACGAAAACTAAAATAACAATGAACACTTTACAAAGTACACGGCTGGTGTTTTATGACCGATCCATCATATACCTGTGATTACTTCTTTGTTATCCATGCACGTGCATCATTTGTACAAATGTTCTGCGACTACAGTTTTCTTTCTTGATTCGAATTTCAAACTGTTGTGGTCATTTTAGCATATTTCCACAAGTAAATTCAAAACTACTTGAGAAAGGGCTATTTGCAATTAACGTTACATAGATTTCATTTCGAGTCCGAAATATCTATGAAAAGCTGTATTTTGTCCCAGCAATATTAACAAAATTCTCAATCCTTCAACCAAAGAATAAGTTATTCTGGTAAAATCTAAACATATCAGAAGTAAAGTGATAATTTTTTCTATCTGTTCAAATATCAAGCATTAGTGCCCTTAGAAAATAGAAGTTTAACTTTGAATCGAGAAAGCATTCCCCTACATTTCCACTGATCATAATTTAGACTTTAGCTATAAACTCGTGTTTCTGTTACTT